TTGTATCTACGGACTCATTTGGATGCCTCAAAGCCCTCTGCACATGCGCATGTTCCTGTAGATTGGAAACCCCTCTCTCTCTCTCTATCTCTATCTCTCTCTCTCTCTCCCTCTCTCTCTCTCCGCGCTTGAATAGGATTGATGCAAGCACAAACAGGTAAACGGTAAACTCGTCAAAATCACATCAACATCTACAGGCCAACTGGTGTTTCAGTTTCAGCACTTGTGTTCACTATAGTTTGTACAACAAAGGATGATGTTCTATTGCAGCAATGATGCACATCGGTGTCTTGCCTTGCCTGCATCTTGCAACAAGCACAATGTTTCTGTTTGAAGGCAACATTTTACCTGTTCCATGTCTTTTGCATAGTACACATCCTCCACCCAAAGAGTCCAAAGCCAGGCCATGGCTATGAAGAATTCTTGAAACCTCACCCAAGAATCTTTGTAGCCCTGGACTGAACACTGTTCAGTCCCCATGATCTGCCCGGTCAAGCTTGATGCGTCCGACGTTCGATAGCAAGGTATCCCCAATCCAATCCCATGGTCGAACTCCAAGTCTGATTCTCCATTTGGTCGAACTCCATCAGCCAGTTGCCAAGAGAAACATCAATGGCCAACCAAAACCATCCCAAATAAGGCCAAACTGTTGAAGGAGGCTCGCTCCGACTCGCTCCCCGGAGGAAAAATAAACAAATGTAGCCGGAAAAAAAAACAGTTCAATCGCCCTGGCCTGGCCACTGGGTGGGTCCACGAGCGCGCCACAAATGGCGGAGGAGCTGGGATCGACGCCTCGGAGCTGCTGTTCTGGTGGTTTTGGTGATTTTGATTGGTTTGTAGGTTTTCCTGGTGCTTCTCCTCCTCAATACTATTCATATGTGTGTGTTTCCATGTGCTTTTTTCTTAGATGAACAGCAACGAAATGGATAGCGATGGATGGTTGTTTCGGGATGGGGTTACTTTTGGCGCTTGGGGGAAGGTCAGCGGTAGTTTTCGGGCATCCATGATGGAATTGGGGATCTGGTTGACTGTTGAAGATCTCATGAACACTGTGTATATCATCGCATATGGATGCATATGGGTATTCTGCGGCTTTCTGTGAAGAGTACAACCAGAGTGGCGCATGGCAAACAACGGTGAATTTGTATCAGCGCCTCATCATTGCACCATGCGTTTGGTTTACATCAGCCTGGAACTCTTGAGAGCTTGAGCAACAAACCTCATTAGTTGTTTCTTGTCATGGATCAGCCCTCTCCAACAGTCAGCATGCTGCTGCCAGACATGTGCTCTCATATATGTTCTTGGCCAAGGTGCAAGAGAAGTATCCGAAGTTGTACTCCTGATGCTCAGTATTTTGATCGGAATCCAAGTTCCAAGCGCCTGCGCAGCTGAGTCTTCTGACCATGAATCAAGGGGCCAATTGCTTCTATTGAGCCAGCATGCCAAAGTATTTACAGATTTAAACTGCATGATCTTCTCTTTGATCCCTACTGAACTCCTAGTGAACACCCACAAATATGGATAATTATTCAGTCTAGACAGTCTGAGGGACCCCACCAGTCTAGTATCTACGTATAACGTTGTTATTAAATGTTACTAATATTCTTGCATGTCCTATCCTGATTCTCAAAGATCTGCTGTGAATCAAAAGAACCGCAGCACACAACCCAGAGGGGCATTTCACTGCCTGATCAACGGGAACTTCCTCCCATCGGGTCCGCATCGGTCCACCAAGCTCCAGGGTTCCCCAGCAGGTTGCAGGTCACAAACCAAACCCACACACCAATTCTGATGCGATGTGTGTGCTTTTGTTATCTCCGAATGGGAATGCCCCCCCCACACCGAAGGTCCCCGGCCTCCCAGGCAAACATCTCCATAGCCGCACCAGTCCCACCAAGGACCCGATTGATCATCACGGCACGCGGCACCGTCGTTCGCCGACACCGGGCAAGCCAAAGAGGTACCTGGTTCGCGACGAATTCCGTGGTCCATGGTTGATGTATGTTGATGTGCCGGTCTGGCCATGGGGGCCATGGTGTTGGACATGTAACAGAATGATACAGAATTTCAGTGGAACAAGTTGGGTTGAACATGGTTGACGTGTCTTAGTATCGTAGCAACAAAAGGACTATACATCAACTTTGTCAAAGGTTGAACAGAATATGTAAAATGTGTAGTGAACATCCCCCAAACACTCCATATATGGTATATTTACCTACTTTGGGGTGGTTTGAGGGGTCAACGTGGGAATATATGACAAACATAGAGTGTCTGGGTCCTAATTGCGAAAACTATCAATGTCCACATGGAGCTCCAGGGGAACAACTCCAACCCAATCACCGTCTCACTCTGAACTCAATCAACGTAGCCAAAGATACACGATCCCGTGATGTTCAGTCCATCATTGCAAGTCGGTGTGCAGTTCCTGAGTGGCTGCAAAATTCAACAACATTAAACGGCTGAAGAATGCTGGGTCAGGAGCTTCACGGAATCAATGTGTTTGGAGACAATCTCTGTAGGGTTGTCGAATGAAATTTGCCGCTACCAGCACCCACACAAGGGTTGGTCAGTGGACTAAGCTAATTCGAGCTAACAATACCACATGATTAATAGCCAATAAGCAGCCCTGCGTGTGGGCCACAGTGGAGGCTCCTAATCTAAGCCTGATCAACTCAGAAGGAACAAAATATATGATGCTGCAATGCATACATCGGAAAGTTCAAGACCGCTCCCTGTGTGCATGCTCTTCAATCTACAAAACATGTGTGTCCTGCCCATGGCTGTCCTAGACGGCCAGTCTAGAGTTGTGCCAAAATCATTCGTTGTGGTTTTGTTCTCCAAGTGGATAGTCTTAGACTCAAGCATCCCATGGTGCGCAAGGTAGTTAAGTAAAGTGATTCTTCCAGTCGAGTGGATCCCATGTAACTCTAAGGTTCCAGCTCTTTCAACCTAACGTCTCACCAGCCACTACCAAGCACCAGCCAACACTTTGCAGATCTTTGCAGACTGACTGCAACAAAATACAGTACCCTTTCTCAAAACGAAGAGCCTGAGAAGGGGGGACAAAAGCTGGAGTCAAAGCCACTGGTTCAACTGCTCGCTGGTCGAGCCAGTCAACGTGTCCGATTCTAAAAGAACCCGGCTCTAGCAGGTCGTTTTGGGAAACGCAGAAGGGTGGCTCTCTGCCAGACGAAAAAGCACATGAAAGCAACTAAAAGCAGACCACACCGCCATTGCTCACTTCGTTCAAAGGAACAACTTCAGCCTTCTCCTATTGGCTGGCTTTCGTTAAAGACAAACAAAACCATATATAAGCCACGGCTAACCAGCATGAATCTGATGCTGGTCGTTGGGACAAGTTGTTTTCAGCTTGGCAACCTCTGAGACCATGCAGCATATGGACATATTGCAATTTTCAAGAACAACCTACGAATTCTATCTGAGCACAGGACCAACCTACCCAGCCCCATCTGTGGCAGGCATCTCCCCTGGCTGAAGTTCGGTCACGGCCACGCCATCCTGTGAAGATCCAACTACAGGACAAAAAGGAAAAACAAGAACATCAAAGAACCACTTGATGCTTTCGATGGAAAGGATCCCATGGTTTTTGCAGGAGATCACTGAGTCCCAATTAATGTAGGAGGAAATAAGGAACATGTAAAACCAACGCTGGCAAAGGCTCCCATTTCCAGGGTTGATCTTGGGCCAGGGATAAATCATGGAAGCTTTTACGAAATGTACGGAATCATAAGACTGCCTCTTCAACATCAGGATATCACCAGCCCACTGCTGCATGCCTCACGCGCCCTGCACACCGGTGCCCGTCCTTCATGCATGCGCCACCTGTCACGCTGGCCAGCACGCATTTCGGCGGCGTCGTCGGCCAACACCAGGCCGCCCGGACCTGAGCGCCAGACGCTCACCGACATGGAAGATGTAGCGTTTGAAAGACATGTTTTTGTTTTGTTTAATCTAAACACAGGTGCTTTCTAAGTCACTAAGACCAAAGAAGCACATGCTGGGTGGTGAGATATCTACTCACAAGTAGTTGGTGAAGAAACACCTCTGAAAAGATGCATCCAGTTGCCAAGGCGCACTCAAACTCGGCAAGCTCCACGGAACCAGCTGAACCAAAGTTGCTCCCAAGAGAGCTGGAATCGCGGTCTTAAAAGTAGCCATGCCGCGCCCTGGCTTTAGCATTCGCGCGCTGAAAATTGTATACCTGGAGCCCAAACAAAAATTCATCGGATTCTTCGTGCATTGCCAGAATGATTTATTCCGCCCCACTGGCAATAGGAAAAATTCAATAAAAGGATATAAAAGGTATCAAAGCGTTTATTTTCCACAGTTTGCTAGTTGACATGACGTGGGAGCTCTAGACAGTCATAAGCATTGACTACTACCTACTTCTCCTGGGTGTGGATATTTGTGAAGTGGGAGTTGGATTCGTCCATTGATGAAAGCATGCTGCCCAATTCAATTTCTGGCCCTGTTACTGTAATAATATTTGACATGTGGAAATCAACCGGTTCATAACCAAATACAAGCAATATCAGACTTAGTGCACATCCAAAGCGAGAAGGGTGACGTGTTTGGATAATCTTCTCATTCATAAGGATGCCAACGGACAAAAACATGAGGCAACAAAGATGCGCATGGACAAGGAAGTTACAAAGAACCACAACTCGTAAAGACAAACTAAAACACACTCCAGCAGGAACCAAAATCTGACCTTGTCGAATGATGCTATAATATTCATAAGCGCCCCCCAAGTCCAGGCTCGTCTTGTAGAACTTGTCGTCTTCTAGTCGTCTCCCATCCAAGAAGCTACTAGGGTGGAGGCCATTACTACTAGTACCAAGAAACTACTAGGGGCTCCTGGCCTTACTACTAGGAGCAAGGACGCTACTACGGGCTCCTGGCCTTACTACTAGTAACAATTAAGAAGCTACTAGGGTAGTGGTTCCTCCGAAGATCCTTCCACCACCGGGTGCCCCGGCGGATTCTCCCAGCAGGGTGGCCATGCGACGAGCGGCGGCCTCAATATGATCAGCGGCGCTCTGGCGCGATGGAATAGGATGACCGGTGTCAAAGAAGCATGAATCATCATCCCGATTGATATATTTGTTTCATCAAATATTGTAGACGCACTAGCAAGAGCGTCTGCCAGCGCGCCGTTTTCACCTAAGGCGCAGCACGAAGTGGCTTCAGGCCTTGATCCAAGCGAACATGAACAACCATGTTCCTCCGCATGCCCAACACCGAAGAGCAAACTCAACTTTCACAGTTCATCCCCTTCTCTTGTGGCATTTGAGGGGTTGGGCAACGGCTGAACACGGTCACGAGTAAAGCAACAGGCTCCTCAAGCATCGATCGAGGATTCTGGAGCTCTCGCATGTCGACAGAGTCTTCCAACTGTCGCCAAATCACACTATGTTCGCTGTCAAAGCGGGCAAAAGTGGAACGAAACGCATGTGTCGTTCTTGAACAGCGTGGCTCTGGGGTCCTGTACGAACGAGCCTGACGGCACACGTTGACGGCCAAATCTTCATTCAAAACATGCCAACCTGAGCTCTGTGAGAGCTTCATCACATGGCCAAACAACGGGGAGGAGCTTTCAAAAGGGACTCCCATGTCACTTCTCACCAACCTTCCGGTCTGTTGTGAGTTAGCCATGGGCTTCTTACTTTTGGACGTCTGTTTGACGTACTGGGAGGAAAACTGTACACACCACTTGCAATCTTTCAGGATCTTGTGAAGGTGCTGAGGGTCAAGCTCCTTAGTGCCGCAGTCTACGATCATGTTCTCTGTTGCTGTCCAACGCATGCTCGTGTTGCATCGAGCCAGCATTGAACGAATCCAGCTTATGGTGAAAGCTAAACTCTTTTGGCTGCCATAGCTCGGCGTTTCTGAGCAGGATTTGTCGAATGCATCCTTGGCGTCGGTGACAACCAACAGGGGCACGGAATCCGTGCTAAGGTCAAAGGGCTTCCGGTCGAGTGGATGACCGAAAGCTTCGCCAAGCACGCCGCGGCAATATTGCCCGGCATCCAGCGCCTCCTCAATGCCCAACAACTCTGCGGCAAATGTCGATCTGCATACCCGGTTCAGTCTATGAGACCGGGCGTCCAACACTGTGAACTTGCCTTCTCTGCCGCTCATGAGGTTTTCGTCAGCAATGAGGACAAAGTAGGCGGCTTGACTATAGACCTTCTTGATGGCCGCTTCGTGGGAACTACCACTTTTCGTCACATTGCCAAGCGAGGCATCAGAAACAACGAGGATCCCCGCATTCTTCATGTCCAAGGGCTTGAAGTGCAGCGCGAAGTCTGCGTGGAGCTTTGCGTTTCTAACTAAGGCATTAGCGCGGATCAACGTCTCGATGGTCTGGGAAGCACCCTGCAATGTCGACAACTGAAATTGCAAGTCAAAGCGAACTTGCGCTACCAGCCACTGCAAACTCCCGAGGAGAGCTCTGAGCTGGCGTTGTTCCCAGGCATCAAAGTAGCTTCTGGATTCTTCTTTCGAAGTGGGTTGATGCGCACCTGCTGAAGATTGCTATGGTACTCTTCCATGGAAACTTTCACTGAAAAATCTTCAGCTTGCTCAATCTTCTTTCCACAATAGGTTATGGTTCCGGTGGAGGTGGAACCAAACCCAAGTTCGGCACCCAGCAATTGCAAGGTGTGGTGCGCACGAGGGCCTCCGGCCAGTAGCAAGTCATCCACGTGGGAGATGAGGATGCCTTCCAGTTTGGAGCCTTCCCACAGGAACCACATGGCCGAATCCAGAGCTGAAAGTTGCCAAACATGGTGTTGTACTGACTTGCATAACCTCTTATACCAACGACGAGGGCTGTCAGCTAAGCCAAATACTCCCTTTTTCACACGGCATAAGCCTGCTTCCGAGAATGGTAAGCGTGGCTCATCAGGTGCTCTGGTCTTCACGTTGGCGAGGTAGAGGATGCGTTCATTGGGGCCAAACTCTTCACCTTTCATGAATGCCGACTTGATGTCAGCACTTGCCAGCTTCCACTTCATACTGGCGGCAAAGGTCAGCAAAAGATGCTGAGAAGTTCTCGACGCTGTTGGAGCATCACAGCGAAGGCCATATGCACTAATGTCTTGGTATCCGGGGACGACCAGCCTGGCGTTGGCCTTGAGTGGAAGGTCCCGGTCTGCCGTCCTCAGTCCGTCATTCTTGTCCACATAGACGAAGCGAGGAACCAAGATGCGGTGGCTTTCACCTTCTGTCTTCAACTTCTGCCTAATGCGGGCAGCTTCGGCATCTGGAAGAGGTTCGATGGCCTCATTTTCAACCCATACGGACCATCCTTTGGCTGCTGCTTCACGGAACTCCTTTTTCTCAAAGTCCGACATGTGACTCCATACATGCTCCTTACGAGCAGTGAGCACTGCAAGCACTTCCTGAGCAGCATCGTCATTGCCAAGGGGCCAAAGTTGCTTCAGCATTTGCCGTCGTCTGAATTCTGTCCTCGAGGGGAGAGGCCAATTGCCACGCCATGTCCCATGGTCTCGGACTCTGGCTTCCAAGGGATTCAGACGATCCTGTTCCGCCATGATCTGGATCTGACGGAGCGGATGCACATTGGCATATGCTTCCATTTCCATCACTTCATGAGTCACTCTCAGGGCTTCTGAAGCTTCATCAGGAACTTCATCCGGAGGTTGAGCCGGAGTTGGAGCAACAGGGTCTGGTTGAAGAGCTTCTTCACGCAAGCGCTCAGCATCCAGTTCAGCAGGCCTCTTGGAAGCTTGTGACTCGCCGCTAGCACTTGGGGCGGCACTGGAAACGCTCTGCCGTCTCTGTTCAAAGGCAGCTCGTACAGCTTCAGGAAATGGAGATGTACCTAAGTCTGGCAAAGAAGAAGTATGCCGAGACCATCCTCTTGAGATAGGACCACCTTGAGCATTGCCGAGGGCTTGCACGAACTCTTGAGGATGTAAAGGTGGTAGATCGGCAGGAGCTTCTTCAGGTACGGCCGAAAGAGGAACAGGTTCAACAGGTAGAGGCACTCCCGTCATCGGTCCACCCTGTGCTTCGGGTTCAGCCGAGGTGGTTGTAGATGAGGAGGTCGTTGGTATCTGTCGATCATGGTATGCCGCATCGATGACTTCCTGAATGGCATCTTGCCATACCTCACTCGCAACTTGTTCCAGGGAGCTGGCTGGTCTCAAATGCTCAATAGCGCACTTGGTCAGTTGTCCTCTGAAACTCACATATCCATTCACATTGCCCTCCAAGGCGACGAGGAGGGCAGGGCCATGCCATCGCTTGAGACTGAGGCGTTTCTTGGATGCAGCTGTTCGGTTGTTGAACCGAGTTTGTCTGAAGAAGTAGACGATATCTCCAGGAGATAGGCCATGCTCTGCCGTCGGTCCTCGAGAGCGGGCTAGTTCAGCTCGTCGAAGGCCTTTGGAAAAATGAAGGCGCACCATCGCCAACCGAGCAGTCTCTCGCATGGCAACTTGTCTGGCCAAACTCGGCCGGGAGTCGATGAGTCCATGCTCACTCAAGCGGCGACCAAAATCACCAAGGCAATCTCCGTGCATCCGGGGTTGCTTTCCAAAGGCAGCTTGCATAGGAGAGACACCAGCGTCGTTGATGTCCGAGTTGTAGGCGCTTACTGCCTCCTGGAGACAAAGTTCAACATCATCTTTTCCCAAGGCCGAATGAGCCTTGATGCACGAACGAAGAATGCCCTTTAGGATAGCGCCACCGCGCTCACATACACCATTCTGCCAAGGGGCTTGGACCGCGGTGTGGTGGAGGTAGATGCTCCATGAACTGCAGAACTCTTCAAACTCAGCAGACACGAACTCTTTGCCCTGATCTGCTATCAGGACTCTGGGTGCTCCCAAGATGGGTAGCCACCTGGTCTTGAAGAAGCGCTCCACCATGCTCGAACCTTTTGTTTCCAAAACTTCAGCAAACTGCAGCCTGGAGACATAGTCAATGGCATGGATCACATAGAAGCGCTTTTCGCCAATGTCTTCAATCTCAAAGAGGTCCACATGGACCTGGTCGCCCACATCCTTGGGTAGTGGCAAGGTAGCAGGCCGTCTGGCCTTTGGGATCTTCCGCTCGTCGCAAATTGAACATTTGAGGTGACGAGCAGCATGGATGATGTCCGGAGGGGCACCAGTGATAGCCAGTGCTCTGGCTAGGCGACGGCCAGATCGGTGGCCCGTGTTTTCATGTAGGCGTCGAAGAGCTTGCTTCACAGCAGCTGACACCTTGGGTCCAGTGACAGCTTCAGTGGACTCCTGATCAGAGTCACTCTGGTTCATGTCAATCGGCAGGGCGGTCTCATCTTCAGCCTCCTCACCGTCTTCGATGGCAAGGATGTTGTGTGGTCTTTTGAAGTCAGCTTCAAATTGCTTTTCCATTCCAACCACCAGGGCCTTGGCGAGGGCCCACGGATAGTGGCCAGCGGGCTCTGAAACAGCTTTTCCCCCAATGATGTGACCATGAGGGTGATTGCCAAGACACTTCATGCCGTCCAGTTGGGAAAGGACCTCATCACTCGAAGTGGCTATCCTCGTAGCTTTCCGAAGTAGGTCACCCGCCTGGTTCTTCAAGCGGAATCGGCATTGGTGGAAGACTACACAACGGGCCTCAAGTTGCTCCAAGGCTCTTTGCATCTCTTCCAGGGTCCATGCTCTAGAGGATTGAGGGTTCTCCAAAACAAAGTGACAACCACGACTCTTCTGGTCCTTGGCCAATTGGAGGGCGAACTGCAAGAGGGTGATCGCTTCCTCATACATCTTGGTGTCATTCTTCGGAGGGTTGAGGTTGAGTAACACACTCCAAAATGAACAAGGAAATGCCAGCACCAAAAAGAAAGGACTTTCACGCTTCAGGACGGCTCTGGCAGCTTTGCGATCCAGTGGACGGAGAAAGTTCCATCCTGATTCCAAGCTCATTGAGGCTCCCACTCGATGTCCTCGTTTGCGAGCCGTCTGCGCAACTCGCTCTGTGTTTGTGTAGACCTCAGTGACAAAGGTCTTGGGGAAGCGGTCATTCTCAACAAGGTCGGGGTTCTTTGAAATCAACCTATTCTCAGACATGGCATGGGACTGAAAAGACTTCTCATCGCCAACGGTGAGGGTGGTGACAAAGATCTCGTTCTGGAAGTGGTCCATCGCTCGATGCCACTGCTCCTCATAGACTTCATTCACTTCCTTGGCACTGAGCGACACAAGGCGACGGTCTCTTTCATGACGCTCCCAAGCATCCGAAATCATTTTAGCCTGACCAGGTTTCACCGCCTGATGTATCCTCCAAGGATTCGTCTCCAGCTCGAGCATCGGTCTCACTGGTCGCGAGGAGGAATTCCATTGGCCTGGCGCCACTCCAAGTCGTCCTGGTAGTAGTCGCGGTTCATCTGTTGAATCTCGTCTTGGGTCCAGCCGAAGTCCATGGTTGCTTCGGTTTCCATCGGACCGGAAGTCATAGGTCCTGGCAGGTGCGATGCTTGGTGCAGGGTCGAAATGCTCTGGAGCACTTGGTTCAGCATCCCTTGGAACTTGTGGTCCTGCATGGTGAGGACTTCCTGTAGCTCTTGAGCGGTCACTCCAGGAGATGCCTTGGCCTTTGCGCCAATTGTCTCGGGCGCTTGAGAAGGTCTCGCCATTGAAGTCTCGGGGACATGTCTTTCCGTTGAACTGGTAGATCCACTTGCCTTCGAGGGAGTTGGCTTTTGAGCGATCTCGGCAACCAAGGGGCGGCAAGCTTTCTTGAGATCTTCCACAGTCATTCCAGTCTGGACGGGGATGTTCAGGAGTGAAGCCAATTTCACCAGGTCTGCCTTCAACGTTGGCAGGCCTCCCTTTGGGCCGATGAGGGAGCGCACCATGTCGTGCTTCTCTCCACGCTTGGTAGCGGCCTCGGCTTCGAGTTGGGCTTCCTGAATGGCATCCCGCTTCAATTGGGCCGTCAGGCCTTTGCTGGCGCGCGCCGCAAGCATTCCTTGCAACATGTTGTCCTCCATGAAGGCGAAGTTGAGGCCAGCACGGTTCCTGAATTGTCCCAAGTCCAGGAGGTTCTTGGTCGTGTACACTGACGGTTCTTGGGTTCGAGCTCGCTGCCAGTGCTTGACCATCAATGCCTTTGGCTTCTGGAGGGTCATAGATTCGGCTTGTTCTTGCCAATGTCTGGTATGGCTGATGCTGGGGTACGGAAAGGGCGCGTACCGCAGCTGCGGACGAGGCAACAGCCACAAGAGCAAGCCACGTGCGTGCCAAGCGGCCTTTGCGCGAAGGCGGAGAAGCATTCGCCGCCAGCGCAGCACCACCTTCGTGTATTCGTTCTCGGTCAGGTCGAAGTGCTGGGCCGCTTCCATTACGATCCACAGATCCTGCGAGGTCTCGAAAGGTCGTCGAAGAGGATGTCGTCGGGGCTGAAGGACGTGTTTGAGCCACCTTCATAGCTTGAGCCCCGGCCGATGTCGCAGCAAGGATCGCATGCTCTGTCACAAGGTGCTCATGCGGTGCTTCGGAGGTTGACTCAAAAGGCACTTCAAAATGACTCATCTTCAATTGCAACTGTTTCTTCCAAAAATCAAAACTGTTCAACTGAAGTTCAACTATGCCGTCTTGTCCAAGTTTCCGCCAGCGTTGGGAGTCCGGACGAGGCCATTGGCGTGGCTGGAGTGGAAGGGCGAAGTGGCCTGCGGCCAGCTGACCCAACTCCAAAAGTTCGCCACCCACCAAGTCAGCTCTCAGTAGCTTGCGGCCGAACGAAAGGACCGCACCGATAGCGCTCAAAAAGTCTCTTCCCAAAAGGAGTCCCAACGATGGCACTGGCACTACTGACACCCACACCAAAACCAAAGTCGAACCCAGGGCCATAGGGAGTCTGTACCTCACGGTGCTTCTTTGGGTACCACCATTTCCAAACCTGAACAACTCATTCTCGGGGGTGGTGATGATGAGGTTCTGGATATAGGAAGGAGCACGTTCGAGGGCTTGGAGGTAGAAGGCCAACCATGAGGAACCTGCGCATGTTCTATTGCAAGCACTATCCAAAGCTCCAACGAATCTCTTGTCTTGTGCGAGACGTGGAGTGCTCTTGGGGTCGGTATGGTGTTGCATGAGGACTTCGAACAATGGGCGATCCCATGAATCGCCGGCGGCCACTGTCATGACCTCGTGGCCCATGTCATCAGGTTCTTCAGGAGCCACATGTTCAGTGTTCAGGGTCTCGGTGACACGAACCTGCTTCGTCATCTGGCTCTTAGGCTTTCCTTTGGGTCGAGCCAGGCCAGCACCAGGGGCCTTGCAGCCTGCATCACCAGCCCAGTGTCCCATCTCACCACAGTCGAAGCACTTTGTAGTGCTCTTTTGGCGAGGGACTTGATTGCCATGGGGCTTCGTCGAACGAGGAGCCGGTTGGCCAGGCTTTCCATATCCACGGTCTTTCTTGACCTCAGCTATTTTGGTGCGTGCTTCACGCATTGTCAACAGACTCTCTGCGGCCTGTTCCATGCCGCTCTCCAAATCTTCAAGCACTCGAGGGTCGCAACCTTCAGTCTCGAGCTCCTGCAGCTCTTGGGCAAGAAGCTCAGCTTCGGTCTGGAGGACTTCTTCGATCGTCGGGTTCTCAGGAGAGTAACCCTGACCATCATCGTCTGGAATCAGCTCTTCATCTTCCGCCTCCATCTGGCCTTCCTCTTCAGGGGCCTCGGCAATCAAGGCTTGTCGAGGTTGAGGCTGCTGGCCAAAACGCTTGAAAGGTGGCCGGCTGGAACCAGAGCTCTGAGTCCGGAAGGAGCGAGAAGAGGGAGCCGTCGAGCTGGCTGTAGTCGAAGGCCTGTAGGACGAAGAGGAGCTGTGTCTGTCATGAGACTGTAGGAAACGCTGGAGTAGTGGTGCCTTGTCAAAAGGTCGGCTCTTGTTCAAAGGGTCGGAGGAGTGCAAATCTCGAAACAGACGAAGGCATTCTGATTCGACCACATCATAGTTCTCCCGACCTGCCAATGCTGTCTCCAGTAACTGCTTCCTGATTGCATCCAGTCCCAAACGTTCTTTCAACATCCAGCCTAACTCCTCTTCCGGCATCACTATGCCTTCCCGCTTGAGCTCAGCTGCAAGGGTCCGGAATCTCGTGCAAAATGCTGAGATTCTCTCTCCAGGGCTGCGTTTGATTTCTTGATAGTAAAGGGATCGGAGTTCTCCCTTTCTATCCAAAGCTGTCTTCCCAACCGTGGCCTCCAAGGCAGTCATGAGTTTCTTGAGGCCAGCAAAAGGGTCTGCAGCAACCCGAATCACCTTGTCGCCGGTGTCAGGATCGGTCATGGCTTCTTCCTTGGTCCCTTCAAGATCCTGGGGATCGAATTCTTCACAACGAGCCCTGACCACACCATATTGTCTAAGTGCCCATCGGGCGGCAACATTGAACTTCTTGCAGGATTCTTCATCCAGCGAAGCCATCCACCAGTTCATCTCCCGGCGGAACTGTCGCCATTCCGCCGGGTTGCCCGACCACGTCGGCACCCGGTACCAAGAGCTGGTGCCGGATTCTTCGGCTGAAGTCATCTTCACGGCCAAAATGGCCAAAAACAAAAGTGAGGCTGCTGCAAGGTGTTCAAGGAGCTCCGCAAGTTCTGAAGCTCTCCAAAGAAAAGGTGGTCTTAGACCGAAAGTGAAGTTGCGCAACAACGGTAGGGCCCAAAGCAAAAGGTGGGTCTATGTACCCTCAAAGGTCACTCCAACAAGGCACTGCTCGGCGGCAAGGGCACAGTGAAGTGGTTCAAGAAAAAGGTGTCCACAAACAAGAGAATCTAGTTATTCTCAAAAGGTTGGCACCGACCACGAAGTCCAGAGCGTCTGGCTCGAGGTCGTGTGGAGCAGCCCAGAAGCTTAGCTTGAAGGCCACGAAGACGAGGAGAAAAGAGGCAAAAGCGAGGCGAAGCAAGGCAAGCAACGGCGGAGTGCAATGCCCAGATCGAGATAGGCTCCGGTGCCACTGTAGACGCACTAGCAAGAGCGTCTGCCAGCGCGCCGTTTTCACCTAAGGCGCAGCACGAAATGGCTTCAGGCCTTGATCCAAGCGAACATGAACAACCATGTTCCTCCGCATGCCCAACACCGAAGAGCAAACTCAACTTTCACAAATATATATATATATATATAATATCTCGCGATACGCTTTGGGATTCTACGGAATTCTTGGACATGCAACGAGCTTGATCAAATAAATGACCCATGTCAGGAGTTCCATGTCGGGGATGGCTATTAGACCCATCCACCCTCCATGTTTCGCACCCCCCTATATGGTGTCTTGCTGGCACGAGTGTGACTTTCTTCATGAGGGAAGGTCCACCACAAAACTACCCTCAAAGCAGTCCAAACTCATGTATACATGGGTGTATATGAGTCAGCACCTTATTTCGTTACACAAGCATATACACCCTTGTCTACCCTACCTTGCGCAACGATGCCTGTGACGGTCTGGATGGGGCGTTGCACACACACACACAAAAACACTAACAACCATATTTGTATATATATATGAGCCCTTTGTCATCCTGCTTCTATTCTAAAATAATTCGCTGAATGACTTGCTAGCAATGCTGCATCCGCAGGCGTACAGTATACTATTTAACTTAACTGTAAACATCTTAAAGGCTGCCGAAGGGGCACAGCTTTACTTGATCATGGTGGATGGCCTATGTCAAGGGTACAAGTAGTACAAGTACCAGAAAGTGTTCTCATGCGTCTCCCTCAACAAAACCATCCGAGAATCAAACTCGATTGCAGCTGCCGTAGTGGAATCAACTAAGGCTTCTTAGAGGCTTCTAGATTACTACATCACAATAGATGGCCCCTTCTTGCACAAAGATCTCGAGTCTCTTCGAGTCTGTTCTCAAGTCTGTTCTCGAGTCTCGGTCTCACACGCGAGCCGCCATCCGTCGCGGCTCGGTCACCACCATGCCTAGTGCGTTGGGGTTGGCGGACATGTGCAAAATGGAAACATGCGCTCCTGTGTTTGAAGGTGGACTGGCCAAAAAAGGTGGACTCTCGTGCCGCACTTGGGAATTGCCATGACACTTCAGCTGACAACACGAACTCCACTGGTCAACCTTTCCTGTCACACTAGAGTGTAGGACGGGAGATGCTCCAGTCTTAGGCAGCTTAGGCAGTTTTCCAAAGAATTCTTTGCTTGATCCAGCACCCAAAATTGGCCTCCTGAGAGATCCTCCAGAAGGGCCAGTGGCACTGCCTAAAGTCCAAAGCTGCAGGTGACTGGATTAATGCACATGATCTAGATATATATATATATATATCATCATCGTATTCATGTTGCTCATTGATTTGGTAGAACTGTCGTATGTCGCTACCCTCAAAGAAGCACCACCACTAAGAACCGGCTCTTCCAGGATCGGCAAGGTCATTTGAAGGGGAAGGGTGTAGCAAGATCACCTTCATAAAGACTCACAGAGACTTAAACCCCTAGTAGCGATGCCAGGAGCCCGTAGTAGCTTCTTGCTCCTAGTAGTAAGGCCAGGAGCCCCTAGTAGCGTCCTTGCTTCATAACTACAATCCTCATCAATCCTCATGGTCTTGTCATCCAAGAACATCTCTCAAGGTGAGGGGTGCCTAAGCCGAAGGCTTCCTCTTCCCTTCGCTGAGACATGCTGCGACACGTCCTTAAACAGGTCTTGTCGTATCATATATATTTCCGAACCGAGGGATGGGGTGTTCTGTCTGCCGATTTGTACGCATGCATATGGAAATTGTGGGTGCATGTATTCTGAGATTCCCCAGTTGCTTAGTTGCTTGGCTCCGCACAATGATCTCGCACCTGGCACACATACTCGACTTCAGTTGAAGTTAGCCGTTAGCTCTGTCTAATGCTATCTAATACTATACTTGAATATATCTACATATATCTAATATATATATATTATATATATATATGTAGATGATATTAAGTTATATATTATATAATATGTACAGTATGTGTGCATGTGTGTCTGTCCCTGCTGACCCGACTGCAACCAACCACCAAACAATTTCACCCTCATCCCCACCAAACGGGGGCGTCGGATCGGCGACACTCTTCGCCTCAGTCAGGGCCCGTCCGGGAGCCCCTGGCTGTGGTCTTTCCAGCGCCAGGCGGGGCCACCTCAAGGCGTTTTGGTGGGTTCCATCCGCTGTCCTTGGGTGGAACAATCCCAAGTTCAATGACAAATCTTGCGCAATGGGGGGATCGCGCTCCAATGCGTTCGGCAGAAAAAAGGGGGGGTCTCTAGATGTCGGTGGTAAAATACATGCGTTGATGGGAGTGTTGACTTCCTTTCAAGTTTCAGTGAACAGCCATGTTGTGGTCTGATTGGACAAAGCATGGAAGGTATTGGAATCGCCAGGTCAAGTGCTGAGCAAAAGACAATAAAATCCAAAAACACAGCTTTCTCCCCAACACCAGCTGAACAGAAGATGCAATCATACTGCTGTTCAACGGATCAAAAGCTGCAGCAGCCACTAATCCCAACAGCCCAAGACCTTTTCTCCACCAACGCTCTCAGGATCTCTCAGATTCCTCCTTCGCTGGACGGGCTCAACAAATGGATCCGTTCCTGGCAAGAGAAAAAGCACAGGTGGCAATTCCATAATACGTTGTGGAGAATCGATTAAAGCCCGCATGTACAGCAAACCATGTGAGACAGGTGAAAAGGACATGGCATCTTCATTCTTGCGAAATCATTATCTTCATTGTGCTCCAAACCCCATTTCTGAAAACCGTGCACTCGGTCCAAAAAAGGCATGTCTTCAGCTTGCCTTTTTTACCGGCATTTGTCAGCCTTTAAGACCTGTCCGTTGGGTCAGGGAGGCGCAGTCTGCATGGAAGACGGGAAGAGCACCAATCTGCAGACTCGATAGAACCAAATCTGCCGAAAAGCCTCTTTCTTCTGTAGACATGATGCTGGTCTGAGGGAACCACCTATGAAATCTTCTATTCTGCAGAAAAAGCCCACCTTCGTCAAGGGGAAAAGTGGCCAGTGGCCCCAAAGGCTACTTTTGTCTATTCGGACAGAAGTGGTTCAGGAATCCAAGAAGGCTTCAAGAGAGATGGTGCTATGAATCACAGGCTTTGAGAGATGGCTGCACCCAGATGGCTGCGCCTGATGGCTGTGCCCCTCAGCAGCTGGCACAGAGGCCACCTCCTTGCAAAGGTCGAGTTCTTGTCGGAAGAAACCGGAAGAGATGAATCAGTTCTTTCGTCGTCTGTCGCCTTCTCATGGGCACACACATGTTAAATCAAATGTGCTTCGCCGCCTGCCGTTGGGATTCTGTGCCCAAAGAATATGTAAATGATTAAGTTAAATAAGGGAAGTTTAGACACCTCTCTTGACTAAGCTCATGCGACAGCTCGTGATCGTCTCTGTTGGCTACCCCACATGTTTCTCCCAATCCTCCTCAACAATTTGCGGTATCGTGGAGGACGGATGTGATTCACAAGTCTCCAAACACTTGCTTCAGGAAACATGAAAATCCCACAGACAGGAGTGGACAATACATGAACAAAAACAACATGAGGTCCTGGGTGAAGTACTTCTTTCAAGACTAAAGTCTTAAAGTACCCACGTGCACTCACCCTCCTCGTTCCCAACACCATCATCGAACGCATCCTTCAGGGCGGTACGTCCGACACGTCCACTGCCAGAACCATCACGCCAGTGATGCCGAACTTCATGAACACCCTCCTGCCGAGAGCGCCGCAAGCTGATGCTTGTATGAAATGAAGAGCTTCTTTAGGGTGACTTGAGTCATGAGTAAGCAATCTAACACAGGTTGGCTGAAGCTTTTTGCTTGCTTGGGTGTATCCAAGGTCACTGTGCTGTCAGAAGATTGCATCATATAATATAAGAATCTACAGCAGCTCGGTAGCTCATTTAGGCCGTACAGGAATCTTCAAACATGGTTCGTAGCGCAAAGGAAATAGTCTCTGATTCACGCTCGAATGCATGCAATTGGTTGACCAAAATGAAGAAAATTGAATGGCCCATTGGTGTAAGCTCCTCAAGGCCAGCTGGCATCTTCCTTTTCTTCCACTACTGGCAAGCCTTTTGGCCAAGCCTAACCTGTGGCTCCAAAGGAAGGTCAAGAAAGTTGAACATGTTGTGGAAGGCGGCATGCGGCATACTTGATTTTTGTTCCTAGGTCTCCAACATCATCCAATCATCTCCTCAGATTCGGTGGCTAGACCCACCTTGCACCCACCCCAGTCCCACCGAACCCCTGGTTCAGAGGGCTCCGTCGGGTCCCTCGCCTCGGTCGTCCTCACAAAGACAGCACCTAAGAACTGAGGCACGGCACGGCGAGTTGGCGAGTCGACGCGAATGAGGTGTCTTTTTGCGGAAGAACAGTTCCAGAACAAATGGTCCAGAGATTCAACAAATGGTGTTTTAATTCTTTGTTCTCAATGCTGGAGGCATGGCAGGAGTCTTTCCAATTGAAGCTGTCAGCTGCTGGTGTGTTCTGAAGCCAAGCTTCAGAGCGCAGGATACTGTCCAACGTGCTTCCTCAGCATGACATGATTCAGCATGATGCTTGCATCACTCCCACATGAAATAAAATGTCCCACATATTGCGAACAAAAGGATGTTGCTTTGCAGGGATATGCTCAACCTCAGCTGGCGCAAGAAGAACTACATAAACTGTAGGAGAATGAGATGCCACAATGGAGGGGCGCCAAAAGACCACAATCAGGAGACAAACGAAGCTGGCTCTACGTTTTAATGGCACTTACTATTTACAAAGCCAATAGACCTGACTGGCCTGAGAAAATGGCCCAGACAGTGGCGTTGTCTTTCAACTATGGTCGTCAAGGCCTCCTATTCAGGATTGCGGCTCTCACGATTCGCACAAGGATTTCCTACCAAGCCCGCCAGTGCCAGGAAAAGTGGAGCCTACTCCCGTCCCAAAGTGGAACTGCTCAGAAAAAGTCTGTAGGCAACTCGAATTTGGATGAATTTGGGCGTACCATGGCAACCCTGTCCTACTGCACACAGGTTTGAGGTTTCAAGGCCAAAGAACGGAGCTTGTGTCGACTCCGAAAACGCCTTGCAACCACTTTGCAGATCTTTGCAGTATATCAAATATGAACACATGTCCAGAAAAAAAGAAGCAAGACACACTCCTTTCAAAGACCAATGCGAGAGCGACTACCTTCAGGTCGTGAACCCTGAATTATATAGGTCCTGTATCGATTTTGCATCGATTTTTGACCCGGTCTCCCCTTGAGTTCGACCCTCCGAGGGGCGCAAATGCTCCGCCCACTTGGCCACCAATGCTCGCTGTGGCACCACCTGCCACAAGCTCCGCAGCTGAGCAGCTGCTTCGGTGTCTTCGGCGGCGCAGCGGTCTAAGCTCGAGAGCAACGCAGCGACCTCGCAGGTGTGACTGTTGCGAGTGTCTGGTGTTTTCTTTCGAATGCAGTCAGTAGGGGCTCCTGGCCTTATTACTGTTGAGCAAGGACGCTGCTAGGGGCAATACTCAGATGCTTTACATACCACTTGCATAGTGGCAAGGATCAGTCCATGCTCTCGGAACCAAAGAACAGCCGGACCGACCAGAAATGCATGCTGATCCGCCGGTCAATCGTTATAGGTTGTATGGAAGTCCGCTCATTGGGCGATGTGCGTCGAGTGAAAAACTCCAATTCCAATCCTTTCGGCCTGCAAGAGGGGTGTTTGTCAAACAGTGAGGTTGCCTTCAGCCATCAATGAACACAAAGATTATGGTCGATCAAAAATGATGGTCGATATCCCTGTGATTTGGGGTTGGCCATCTGGCCTACTATAGTATCTGGCCTGACCCAAGATTTGATCCAAAAGCACAATTCTGGTGGAAAAGTAACACAACCCGAAAGCCTGACCAAAATAACCTATCATAAATCCTTTCCATTCCCCAAATCTGAGAGAAATCGCACAGGTTGATCTGCTATAGAGATATTTTCACGCATTAGCTGCCAGCTATGTATTCAGCATTACACTATTTAGCCACACCTCTCGCAGCACTAAATATCTGCCTGGGCTGCATCCATGGAGAGGAAGAGATCCGCGAGCGTCTCCTAGCTGGTGTAGAGGTTCATTAGAGGTTCCCATGTGTTTGGTCTCTCCATGTTAATCTTCATCGTGTGGTGCGCAAGAATCCTCAGAACGTGTTGCGTTTGGCCCTTTGGTGTCTGGGTGCACGACTCTTTTAGGATGAAAACAAAGGGCTTCAGTGTTAAACATGCAATGTTCAAGATTCCAAGTGAGGTTCCATTAGCCACTTGTGAGATGCTCAGTGTCAAGTCACACACACTCTTCTGTGCAATTTTAATGTATGTTTATGATAGATTATTGACGCAGTCATTGTGCCCCCAAAAGCGCCTGCTAGACATACTACCCAAGGCAGTAGAAGGTACCATTGCACTTGGTACACTTGCCCCCGCGGCGGTTGCAACAACGACTTCGAGTTCGTTTGGAATCCGCCTTCTCATCCACATCAGCGGACGTGGCGGCGGCCGCCAACGTTCTGGGCAGGGAGTTGCCACAGCTCCTCCGATGAACGTACGGGATGGTATGGTTTGATCATAGTGAAACACAGGTGACGGAAGGACCCACTGCTGAGAATCGATGGATCCAATAGGTCCAACCCACTGGCGCCGAACAGCAAAAGAACCGCTGTTCATGGGCCATTCATCTGCCAAGGGCATAGGATCATGGGATGTGTCCTTTTGATACCAACACACACACACACACGAAAAAGACAGGCACCGATGGATCGTGCCCCAGCTCTTGTTCCATGCGCTTCCATATTGGCGGTGGGTCAAAGCTTCACCCCTCAAACCATTGCAGGTGGACATCCCTGGGGACTGAACACCTCCGGCCGCCCACAATTTGGGTCCTTCTCCGTTTCAGGTGCACGAACCCTCCTAGGCTTCACCCACGGTCAGCTGGTGAATGCTTGTGGCTAAGCTCAAAGCTGACTAGCCCTAGGATGTGATGTTGTTCAACGCATCTCCACCCATCTAACTTCTTCAACACAAACCATTCAATTTCCTTACTGCCCCAGAGTTGCTAAGCTGATCAAGTGTCCGATCTGTTTCCGCGGTGTTTGGATGGTCTCCCTATTATTTAAACACCCGAGTCTCCGGCGTCCCCAGCGGCCGGTGCTCCGCACCGTCCTCAAGGTGCTCAGCCAGCGCCGGTGCCTTGGCGCCTGCGAGGCGTCGGCCGCCTGCGCCAAGGACCGCAGCGTGGGACCGCGGCGCTTCGGTTTGAGCGTGCTTCGGCGTGGAGAGCGGCGTAGGTGGCGGCCGGTCCGTTGGGCCAGCATGTCCTAGACATCCAACAGGAGGGGTCGGAGGGGTCCTCTTTAAAGAATTGTGCTGCCCTTGTCATAAATGTCCTGAATCATGTACCGTCCTTTTCATCAGTGACAGTTTCGGAGTCCTTTGAGCATCTGAGCAGTTTTTGATTCATTACATGCATGGTATTACTGCTGCACTGCTGCATTTGTTCTTGTCGGTGCATGGATGCTTCTGAGCTGCTCCAAGTAAACGGCGCAAAAGGTAGGGCCGCGCCACTGTCGGCTCCCGCGGATACTGACGCCACCAAAGGTTCATGGCGATGGCCACAGGCTGGCCTCAACATAACGGCTTGAAAACGGAAAATGTTCTGCGTTTTAAGGTCAACATATGCTTTGGACCTCGGTGAAATTTCAACCTTAAACAAGCTTGTTGGGTAATAACAATTTAAAAGAAAAGCTGGCTTTGCTGGCTTTGCCCTGTGGTGTGTTCACTGGCATTGCCATATTATCTGTGGGCAAATACCAGTTTGTCAGCCTGAACACTGGCAAGCAGACTTGCTGAAACAGCAGTTGCATGCAGTCGACCTCTTCAGAACCTCCAGCCACTCCCAGCCATCCAACACTGATAACATCTTCTGCTGGGGAAGGTAAAGCTTCTGAATGGTTCCGTTCCAGTCTTGAATTTTGCTCCATTTATCTTGGAACACGACAAACTATATAAACAAACAAAACACGAAAGGGTTCCTAACAGTTCCACTGCCACTTCACCCTCCTCTTGATGCTTCCCCAATTGCAGCTGACCACTCCGGGCCACCAGTGGTCGCGTCTGGAACCCCGGACGTCTTCACGTGATGCCACCATCCCTCTGGGATCAATAACGCATCACCTGAGGGCGATGTTCATGCGGCGATTCTGGAGGATGTCCATGATCCAATCGATGTCAATGGCCGAATTACCGAACAAACCAAACCTCTGTGGCCTGCACCACTCAGGTTAGGATGCTTCAGGAGAATGCCATTATTAAAACCACTTGGCTCAAAACTTCAGGATGATTTGACTTACACCACACGCCACGTCTCCATATGTCCGATGCCAAGGCACCCAAGTGTAGCTCCGCTTGAAAGCTTTGCGCCTTGGGGAAACATGGCCAGCACTGCGATGAGCCTCAGCTGCCACCAATGACACTGTCAGCTGCAAGTTGTCTTTGGCTTCTTGATGGCTCTAACATGTTGCCATTCCCGGTTGAATATAATGGAGATCAAGTGATTCATGAGAAACTTGAAACATCATGGTGGCGGAGAATAATTCACTACAGTATGTGTTCCAATGTGGGTTTAAATTAGTAACGCCACGGCTAGGTGAAGCAGTGGAACACAACCTACAGTATATCAGGGTGGGGGAGCCAAGTGGCAAATGCAGGGATTGGCACAGCAGTTCGCCCCCACGGCCCCACAGTAGTAGAGGGCACAAGCGCAACGCCTCCCACCAAGTGGCCCGATGTACATCTTTGGCCCTGCAAGCGCGCAGCCAAGCAGCAGTGCGGTACCTGGACCGTGAAAACCGTTGTGGGGACCGTGGAGCTTGTCGTTCGTCTTGAGAGGTCAAGCTGCTATGTGTTGTGTTTTGTTCTTGGGCAGGTGCTAACACTCCCTGAAATACTCATGAAACCAGAAACCCATCTGTTTTTTAAGGGATTATGTAGCTTCCATTATTTGCTTTGATTTTTTCAGGGAGTGTAGCTCTAGAATCAACCGTCACTTGCCAAAAGCGGCTGCCAGACCTCGTTAGCTCACCCCTTCGTCGAACGGCCGGGCCTTTGACCGATCGATCCCGATCGAAACCGAGACACCCGAAGCCCGGCCTTGGAATGATGCGATCGCAAGGGGTCATGAACCGGATAAGCGCCCAAGTGCAGCGTGGAGCTTGGGGGGAACACCTCCACCACTTTGCTCCCACGCAAGATGATGAGCAAGCCATGCTTGGAGTCGTAGTGCAAATTGGAATGGGTGTCGCCGATGGATGCCTGAAAGGGCAAAGCTTGGGTGCTTCAAAACTTGTGAACACCGCTTGAAACTTTAGAAGTTGGCTGTGGATCTATAGAGCAGCAGGTGCTTGCACAGAACAAGTCTCAACCAATCACTTAAAAAAAATATCTGTTTCACCAATGATGCTGAGGCATCTTGCAGGAACTCATACCAGTGGCAAATCCACCAATTCCCTTTCAGGGATTTGTTTCATGAATACAATGGATCTGTGAATCTTATGTCAGTGGGTCTTCCCTGGTCCTTCCTCAACCATTGCGACAGTCACACTCCCCACTCAAAATCCCATGTTCATCCACCAGTCGCGGCCAGTCACCGTGTTTCCAACCGAGCTTCACCCGGACCAAGCAGATCACACCCCTCCCGGGGTTTCAAACCTTTACAAGAAACGGCCGGTTTCTCGGGTTGCACGCTGTTCTCGGTGTTTGCACCGCGTGGCCCACAGGTTCACCGATTCCAGCCGTTGAGCCCAGGCCGAGGAGTTCGCGTCGCCCAGGGCAGAGCGGAGGAAGGGCAAGAGCTCGCAGGCCTGAAGGAGAGAAGTGCGGTCCAAAGGAGAATTCGCTAGGTATCAAAAGGCACTCAGTTCAATGTCAAGTCATAAAAACTGGGATTCACTCTGATGCTTGCAGGCAACGTCATTGTGCTGAATCTTATTTGTGTCTATATATTTCTTGTGTGTGTACAGGAACGTCTACGTGGCTTGTATCGTCGAGACATATCTTCCCATACATACTCCAACATCTATTTCACACACCTCATAGGCACCTTGTGCCCGATTTTCTGTTTGCATGCTGTGCTGTTTGTCCTGCATGGCCTGAGGCAACAAGTGCTCCGCGGGGCAGTCGACCTCTTTGGATTTCGACCAAATGGGACACCTGACCGAGGTCGCTGAACCCGCTGCCACAGCGGGCTTTGTTAGAGCACGGCAGGTAGAGCATGCATGTAGAACCACTATGAGTGAAACTCATCTGCCAAGAAAGGTGCGAAAAAAACGCTGTGTCAAAAACACCCATCGTTCACCATTGACTATAAAACGGACTTCGATGTGATGCCAACCTGTTCATGGTGCCAGAAGGACCACAGGAATCCAACTTCGGCCCTTTATTGCCAGGTTGCTGCACCAAATACAAGGACCTCTGCTCGTCTTTGGCCTCTAAGGCTGCCTCCTGCAACTGGCTGAAGGGCACCCGCTGCAAAATCCCACCAAAACCTGTGGCAGCTAAAGAAAACTCGAGTCATGATGCTCCGTAGGTCATGATGTCCGGATGCAAGGAGCTGTCATGACTCACTTGAGGACATGACATGACTGAACATGGTAAGCCCTGTTGAGCCCTTCTGCTTGGGGGACCAGGTTCAAACAGTCCCACAAGGGGCACAACAAGCTGAGCATGATACCCCCCCAAGTAGCTATACCCCCAAAAATATACCTCTTTCAGGGTTGGCATTTACACAGTGTGCGTAAAGTACAATAAACATCAGTATATAAGTTATACTCAAAGGTGGGTTTAGGGTACAATTCATGCTATTCACCCCCTCAAAACCCACTCTGAGACCTCAAATGATATGCAATTGTATAACATATTAGCTCAGCCCCTACCCCATCCCCTGCCCTGAAACCTATTCATCTACTGTATACAAAATTGTATGTCTCGTCCAATGTTGGTAGATACTGTAAATTAAACGGACCTATGTCGAGAGGATTTTGAGATTGTGTTTCAAAACCTACCAAATACCACGTGGTAGATAAGAACTCCAAACAATGCATCATTAATATATATATATATATACGCGTGACAAGTGTAAAATCCCAAGTCAAATCTCTTAGTTAGTTGTTTTCCAGGCAATATATTCTATGTATGATTCACCCTTGCCCAACAAACTCTTCCAAGTCTCAATGTGTTTGACTCTTGCTGAATAAGTTTTTGTTATGGAAACCACTTCTGTTCATTATTATCATTTGCACATATGTTCTTGGAGGTTATTGAGAACCAATCAAGAACAACGGAGTTAGACCAAAGGCTAAAAAGGAATGTCTGGCCTCTACCCCTGCCTAGCAAGCATGATCATACGTACTTGAGTTCAAGCAATCTTACTCAGTTTCTTGCATAGGCCCTTGTCCCCTCCCTCTTAGTTTGTCTGTTCCATTGATAGTTAGTTTTTCCCTTGTTTTGCTATTCAGCTTGGTCCCCTGCTTAAATAATTGAGTTGTATCACACTGTTTTTGTCCATGTGAATTGCAAAACTGCCAACAAATATTCCATATAGTTGACATGGGTAAATAAAGGAGCAAGGGGTGTAAAACACATTCAAGATCAGAATTAGTTGAGTTAAGGGTAATATGGCGTAGAATAGGACAAGCCTAGAAATAAAAACGCCAACCTAATCAATCAGCTTGAAATTACCACTGCATGTGGGTGAATAATTTAATCTAGATCGAAGGAAGAAATCATGTCAAATATAGAGACCAGAAAAGGAAAGGACTGTCTAGTTAATCGGCTTGAGATTCGCTCTGAGGACCGGAGAATGAATAAATACAAGGGGGAAACCGTGTAATGGTATAGTATAGAATAGGTGAACTCGATGAACAAAGCATTGAAGCAAAGGACAACACATAACTGTAAACTAAAGAAGAACAGGATCCCCTAAGTAATCAGCTCGAAATTTGCTCTCGTTACCTAAGTTTCTTAACCTCTCTGCAAGACCTGCGGCTCCTGAAGCACATGTTTTGGATAGTTTAAAATACATATAAATATGAAATATCCACCTAGTAAAATCCTAGTAACTAGTACGTATGTTTTAGGGAAATTACCAGGGGAAAGGTACCATGAAGCATCAGAAATTAACTTCTCCAAACCAAAAAACAAACCTATAATCCCTTGTAGCCCAGACGAAGGCTTGCTTTTTGTTTGGTTTGGTTTTGCTCATTCCCATCTGTAAACCAAAAGAACACCTATGATGCAGTGTAGCCCAAACAAAGGCTTGGCTTGTTTCTTGTTGTCTACAGTTTGTTGTGCTTTCACAAGTTCTGCCAGGACTAACCCAAACGGATGGTCTTTCTGGTATTGACGAACTCTCTTCTCGCACTCCGGTTACAGCCTGGCGACCCCTGGCACCCAGATTGAAGATTCTGTTGGGAACCCCGGCCATCATCATCAAACTCACAGGACACATATTTGGTTCAATTATGGTCAAATAAACCTCAGCTACGACCAAAAGAAGTATATAAGATAAGTTCCAAGTCAATCCGAGTCCACCTGAAAACCGTCATGTGGCTCCAGCGCAGGCTGGAGCCTGAGACAGTACGGTACCAGTTATGGAGTATTATATACAGATAATAGAATATAACAAAATATTATATATATAAATAGTAAAATTCACCCACCTCCTCGCACGGGGAGACTACTGGGGAGCCTATAAGCAATGCCTCATTCCTCCATGGACCTTCGACCAGTCATATGATCCAATCAAAGACAGGGCGAGCAGCCGTGGAAGTTTTGCTGGCCACTGCTGCTCACTTGCAATTCAGCCTGCAGTCTGTGGCTTGAACTCCACTGGCCCATACGCGTCCCGGACTTGCAGTCTGTTGGCCATTGTTTCTGTTTCCAAGTCCACTCCTTGATATGCCAGCTTCAAACCTTGAGAACCAACGAGCCAACTTCGGAGAGTCGATCATTTCTTCGTGGGAGACCCAAGCTCTTTGAGCATGTCGGAAACGTGCAACCATCACCTCAAGAAAAACCACTCAAAAACGTGTACGTTACCTCATGAAACCTCCAAACTACCAGACGCCCTGCGATGCGCGGCCGCGCCTGGGTTCCTGAGCCCTGGAGCCTTGCGAGATCCCAAACACCCACGCGAGGGAGCAAGCGGCGCAGCACCAGCGGTCGCGCACGGACGGGGATCCCGGTGGCACCAGGGATCCAGGTAGTCCTCGGTGGAAAGTGAGGTGTTTTTGTCGCGATGTGAATCCACAAAAATGATCAACAATGGAACAAGTATCAAGAACATGAAGGAGGAAGTGAGTCTCATCTGGAATTGTGTCTTGGCTGTGAGACAATCCGTTTTGAGAGTGACAACATGTGCCAACGTTGAAAAAAAAGCAAGTGTTTTACGGCTACAATGTGCTTCCATGTGTTTCCTTTTGCCGTTTCTGTGCCATCTTCCAAGTGTCTCGGGCACAGCACGGACCACTCCCATGGCCACACTCTGACTCAACTTGTTGGAGTGTGAATACCATTGACTCAGAGTCAGTAAGACAACATACCATTGAGTCAGAGCGCAGAAAGTGTTGGTTGAATAGATGGAGCTATGAGTATGTTGGTGTTCACCGCCAAGCGGAACTCACGCCGACTCATGGATTTGCTCTAGTCAATCGATCCGTCCGTCTGCCCGGAATTGATGTCTCCGGCTTGCGTACTGACCGAACAGCATGGACAGATTCTATCTGCAAACGGGTAAAGCTGCGTTGGTCATCTCATGTGATCAGTAATCAATCAAGCGATTTGAAGGAAGAAACTCAAATAAACCCTAGACCCTAGGGCTCCAACCACATCCTCAGAAGGTGGTTGGGGTGGGTTTTGGGGGGGTCTACCCTTCTGAGGATGTGGTTGGAACCCCATAAATTTTATAAAGGGAGACTTGTGATTGATGTGGTTGGTCAATCCCACGGCACTTTCTCTCACAAGAATATGTAGCAACATGTCCAGGGATCAATAAATAGGGATCAATAGGGTCCATGCATTCGTAGGACACAAACTGCATACAAGTAGGATTGGTAATGTAAAAAGTGTAGATGCAGCATTACATTCTTGTATCTCCTCAGCCAGTCTGCACCTGCATCACCACCGTCTTGATATGAACAAACCCTTGGCCACAACTTTTTGGACGTGGTCGGCCCCGACGCAGTTGGATTAACCACATCGCGGTTCCGCATGGCTTGCAACATGAGCTTTGACTACCACAACCCCCTGGATGGTTTCCCTTCACGTGTGTGTGATTCTTGTTTGCTTGGGCCCTCACCTACCTATCACCTACCTGATTGACTTGCATCTGAGATATGGGTGTCATCTTGCAAGTGTCTGGTGAACGTGTTAGTTCTCCAGCGCTTTGTACACTCACAGTACCAGCTTTGAGCGAGAAGTCAACCAGCTATCTTTCCAGCAAGCCAACTCATCCAACCTCTCAGCGCCCCACAGCGATGGAAGGCACACCGGCTTGAGCGATCCACGCCCGGAGTATGGAAAACCAACTGCTCTGATGTACTCTGTCAAAGGACCAGCAGAGTCTTGAAGGTTGGTCTTCACTTTCTCCATGGAAAGAAAAACACAATTCAACTAAACATTGTGAAACATACAAAGGATCAAAGGTGTTCCTCTTTGAGAAATTGTTGAACTTCCCAGCTTGCAGCTTGTCGATGGCTCAGAAATGTCACCCAAACACCTCTATTTGTGAACAAACTTCTGGCGTGGGGTTGTGTTTCCAAAGGAAGCACAACAAGTAGGGGACATCCAAAATACAAAGAGTATGATCAGCAGGTGTTCCTATTTTGTGGCACGCACGAGTACGAGTCAATACATTCATTGCTCCCCTCTGGCTTCAGCATCTAGATTCTAGATCGAAGCCTTCTCCCGGCTCATCCAGAACACATGTTTTCCTCTACTGACTACTTATCACTCCTGTCACCTGTCTATTATTGGCTTAAAACAACTGCCCAAACTGGCAGAAGTTATAAGTTCAGACTTCATTGGGTTTTGCCACGAAACTGAGCCAAGCCAATGAAGACGCACAGCTCCCGGAGCTTCTTCGTGCAGCTCCTCTGCATCTTACGCCCAAAGAACCAACACGAAGCGTTGACATCAACCATGGTAACTCCACAGTGATCCAAATGATATCAGCCGGGAAGGGAGAGGAGTGGATCCTACATCCATCTGTGTCAATGCCAAATCATTCTCTGTGACTGTCCCAACCTGGGAAAGCATCTGAATCAAAACACAGATCTCAGATCCCTTTGTGGCTTCCGAAAAAGGAAAACACCAAAAGGTACAGCAACCTTGACTTCCACATGGACTTTCACTGCATCGAGTAGTGTGCACTCCAAAGAGATTGATTGTGCCGATTTTGACCAACACAGAGGCCAACACCCACCCTGTTCACTCCACTGGAAACTAGTGTCCTGCGTCCACCAAAGGCCACTCGTCTGGGTGCAGCTCACCTTTTTGGATGGAGGATATATCAGAATATTTGAGACATGTTGTGAGAGGTGTTGGATGTCTAGTACTTTCCCCGAATCATGGAAGTGGAACAGAGGCCTCTTGACCACCATTTCCCTCTAAAAGAGTGGAGGGTATAGGACTATATACTCACACAAACACGAACTGATGAATGCAGTCAGGTTCAAACACCAAGGTTAAAAGCAGATTCAAGGGACGTTCCTCAGCTGGCAAACTCTTGGCATAATTGTTGCCACCCAAAAGCCAAGTAACATCTAGTAATCTAAGCTCCCGTCTCTGACAAACTTCCTGACAGGAATTCCCCAGTCGCTGCTTTGTCCTTTCTTTGCAGTTGGATTGCTGCTAGACTTTTATATCAAGGTCACTGTTTTAAAGAACTCAGCCAAGTCATGCACACAACTTTACTGTAGTTGTTTTGGCTGCGCTTGCTGCTTCGCAAGATTCCATACAACCCTCTGCAAGGTCCTACAGTGCAGCAGGGACAGCTTCAAGCTACAAGTGAATCATCACCTACCTACAGCCAACATATGTCCTACGTTCTCCAAGCTACCTGAAAGATCCTGAAAGCTTTGAACACCAACATCATATCCTTCTTCCACGTGCAACCCTACTTACTTCCAACCCATCCAAAACCCGCCGCACAGCGCCTTCACGCATCCCCTGGCCGGCTTTGAGGAGCCGCTGCTGCTGAAGAAAGCGCCACCTGAAGCACAGGATGGTGGAACCAGGAGAGGCCGGGAGAGATGACACGCAGCAGTCGGAAACTAACATGGACCTTGAGAATGGCACCCTGAAAGACTGTTTTCCCCTGCAAACCCGTGTTTTTCAGGGTCCATGTTAGTCTTCCAGGGAGTACTACCACTTGCCAATTCTTCATCAGGTGCCCTTCACCTCCAAACACCTTCCACTTAGGATCGGATGTGACCGACCCTGGTTCTTGACCGATGGAGAAACATCTTCTACCCTTAGGATTGAACGGCGCGTGGAGTTTGGAACTGATGGCCCCAGGCACATCATGAGCAAAATGGCCCGAAGGAAGGTGTACCAGGCATTGAGGCTCCCTCACTACTTCAATTTTTTTGATGGTTTCAATGATTTCACGTCATTTCGTCGTTTCGTGTGGATCATTCTTAAAAACTCGTGAGATCGTCAACTCTGGCTTTCCAAAAAGAGCCGATCTCTTCGCCCCTGCCCACTAGTAGCTATTTGCTACTAGTAGTGATGCACTTGCTAATGAGTTCCCATGAGTTCTCCGTTGTTCACCAAGTGACCCGAGCTCGGTGAAGAGCTCCCCGGGCCACCTGACGCAACCCGGCGAGGCGTTGAGCGAGGTGTTGGTCGGCAAAGAATAACGCGGTTCATCAAGTTTTTTGTTGTCAAGGTTAGTGAGGCATGTATAAGCATGAAGGCTGCTTCATAGTTCAACTTACTAATATATTTACTATTTTTTGTACTCAACACATCCAGCAGATTTGGATTTGCCTTCAAAACCTTGGCGAAGCAGAAAGCCTTTGAAAACACAAGATGCTTCTTGGGCCATCGGAAAACCCCAATGACATTCAAGTTGTTAAACAAAAGTTTGATACTGTGTGGATACGAAGCATAAAGAGAATCATTTGACAACACCGTACTATGTGAGGTATTGGTACTAATACAAAACAACAGGTAGACTGATTTCTGCTGAGCCAGGTGATCACAAACACACAATCTCCATCGTTCTCCCAAAAGCGAGCAAAGGCGCGAATGTCTTCAATCAAACTGGTGAAACCAACATACAGAAGGAACTGTGCATTAAAAATTCACAATTTGCTTGGAGGGCGCCCCTGTGTAACCCTGTTTCCTTTCTACCCTCAAAGCCGAAACTATCAAGATTCCCAAGCCGACTTTTTAGTCGTACCCTCAGTGACATCCACATTCTGTTCAATCCAAGTGTTCAACTCCCAAGCCATTTAACTCCTGCACAACTGGAAAATGACCCACAGGAGCCGGACGCATGTCGGCCAGTGTTGGTGACCAACAGCCAAACATCTGTGAAGGACTCGCACTCGCTGTGCCTGTGGACAAGAGCCGCAAACTGCAAGACCCCCCAAGACTCTCCGTGAGTGTTCGGCTTCGGTATAGGTCGGTGGTTCCATGGTTCCGATGGAGGCCAAAGAGCACGGTGGTTCCGATGATCTTTTTTGCCAAATTGGCATGCCATGTAGAATCATTGATGTCTAGGAGTCTGTGGAAACTACAAAAGCTGGGCGAGTTATAGGGAGTCGAGATGGGAAGCAGTTTGAGCTTCCTTATTTGAACTCACATCATTTGAGGGCATGCGGCATGGACCTTAGACACCTAGAAGCCCCAAGTGCATCGTGGACCAGCAAAGCCAAAACAAATGGAAACAACTCGCAAAAAACTTTCGAACATGAGTTGCTACGTATGTGTCGGAATGAACGTCCCAAAGTCTCAGATCTTGCAGTGGGTCGTGAGATGTCGTGAGGCAGTCTTTTGGTTCACAGCAAAGACTGAAAATTCCGGAGCCTCACACTCTCGGAGAGCCTAGACATCAGCTATACTTGGACTTTCAGCGATGTTCATGGCCACCAGTGATGGCTAACTTCCTGGCTAACTGTCAAGTCTCTCTAGAGTATTGGCTGAAATGAGCAGCTCAGGCAAGCAAGTGCCAAAATGGCACCAGCATTCAGCCTGGGTCTTCTCTCGTGCAAGTTGTTTATGACCAATCAAAAAAGGCACACATTTAATTTAGGAGTGCATATAGACCGATGCAAATCTTCCAACAACATGACCGCAAGAGCGAATTATGCCTGCCTTGCTCCAAGTCCTTCTCTCGTCTAAGCTGGTGAAGAATGACCCAGGCTGACTTGAAAGAAAATGTTTCAGATCTCACCTGAATGATCTCAGATCCATCCCTCTCAAAGCCATTCGCCCTTCTTCGACTCGCCCGAATAGATCCAACCCCACTTCCTTCACTTGTGTCGCCGCGAAGACGCGTGTCTCGCACGTCCGCGTCGTGCGTTTTGAACCAACATCAACGCTCAATATTATAGCAATGCTCGACGCCTGCTAGATTGCGTGCTTCAGCACAAATGGCTATAACCTCAAGCTATCGTGAAGGGTTCGACGGTTTGACCAGGTTGACCTTGCTTCGCCCACAGTTTGGACCTTTTTTGATTCATGGCAATCTCACTCACTGGGCACGGCTACAGTAATTTGCCGTCTAAGGCTCTCATCTTCCTTCATCACACTCCTTTCCAGCAGAGTCCCATCAGCACCTCAAAACGTGTGAGATTTGGGCAGATGTTGAGAACGACAAAAGTTCTCAGTTCCCCTTCCAAGCACGTCATACTTGCAGAGCCCTAATGAAAAGGAAGAATTCAACCACTGTGGTATTCACTGGCCGGCTTAAACCGATACTGTGCGACACAAGGGGTCGCTTGAAACCTGTTATCACCTCAAACGCCTCTCAAACATCCACCAGATCCTGTGATCGCACCGCCATGTCTCCTCAGTGAAAACGATGAGTCTTTGGGTCAACTTGGTCGAACCGTCGGTCAATGACATCCCGATGTGCGGCTTGGTCTTCCTCTTCCGACGAAAGCGCGCTGGATCTGGGCGCTTTCATCCGTTGATTTGATGATGCAATATATGACTTAAAGTGACGCATTGCTTTCCGAGAGCTTGGAGAAAATGCACCCCGAATCAAATGTAGCAACTCGCGATCTGAGGGCGAATCCATCCATCTATCCATCAAATCAGGAGAAAATGAAGAAATGCTGGGTGGCAAATCCCAGAACCACGCTGATCCCAGTACCAACACAATGGATGTGATAAAGACTGTAGATGCAAGTCCATGGAAACCATTTGGATGTGCAGCAGGATCTTGCTCTTGCTGAGAAACCCATCAAGGACGTGATACAAGTATATATATATATTATATAATGATAGTAATGTTCTATCGAAAAGAAACAACAACGTCTTTAAACAAGGCATCTTTGAAACCTGTTTTTGAAGGTTTGGCATGGTTTGGGTATGTTTGGGTGAGGGCGCTCGGATCTGTCCGGTCCAATCCCGTCTTCTGCCCAACTCCAAGAGGCAAATGATCTTAAATTCCACTTCGTTACCTGGGCTCCAAACAAAGTGCAAGCCGGAAGAAACTTGTCATGTGGAGCACGTCGTAGTATGATAGGAATGAACATGGAAAAAAACAAAACAATACACATATAAATTCCACATGATTCCATCCCAGCTCTCTATTCCCAGCCACTGGAGGTCGCCACAATTTCCAGTGCCTTCGCATCTCTCAGCCGCACTGCGTCTTTGGGCTCTTGGTCCTTTCCGGTCGTGAAGGCGACGGCTTCCGGAGCGACGGAGCGTCGTCATGCCCCCGACGGCGGCATGGACTGGGCACCTGGACTTTTGTGGCTGAAACCACATGAGGCGTCCTCCAAGGTTACACGTATTGAACGAAAAAAATATGGGCCCTATCGCTTTACATATCATATCATATCATGTACCAAACTAGAGTAGGTTTGTGCAACAAAGTGAAAAGCCCCTAGTGAGTGTGAACAATGGTCTGCAGCTCCAAGAGACGTAGGCGTCTCCCTTCTCGGTTCCAAAACCTCAGGGTATCCGAACCAGAATGGCTGGATTGCTTTTCTTCAAAAAGCAAGACCGGTCACTGTGGATGCGTGTCTTCTTTCCCAATGTCCAATCTTGCTAAGATAGGTCTTGGAGTTCAAACAGAAACTCAAAATCTCTGCAAATGAGGGACTAAGTTTCATGCCCCAGGTGAATTCATGGCTTCTTTGTTCCGCTCTAAAGTTAAGAGGGAATCTGTCTGGCGCTCCGATTACTCTTTCAAAGGACAATAAAATACCGACACCACTGAAACAGAAACACACGGTATGTTTTAATTTCTCGGTCCTCGAAGTGCTGGGCCTGGTTTGAGTCTGGAAGGGCCCTTTTGAAGGTTTCCAAGCCCTTCGGAGATGCACTTGTCCTTCGGTGTAAAGTAAAGTCTGTCTCTCTCTCTGTCTGTATCTCTCCAGGCGGAAGCCTATGCCACCTTGCTTTTGCTTAAACTCCAAAAAGAACGCCACATGCTATGATTCATGTCTACCATAAGGGCAGGCTTGTTCATCTGTTTCACTGCTTGTACCACCAGCGCCGATCATTGCCCCCCCCTCCTTTCATCGAGGAACAAATTCCCCAGGCTTTGATTCGATTGCTGAGCTTTGCCTTCAAAGGATCCTCCTGGCAGTTTCTACCCAAAAACATGAGAAAACTTGACCCTTTGCTTGGGGCAGCAGTACAGTACTCTGTTGAAAACAACATGGAAGCACCTCGAGCCTCGATCTGCAAAACTGTTTGATGATTAAACATGTCTAAAAACACTGACTTGAGTCATCCTTGTCAAACGTCGTCTCTGGGGGATACAAAGATACTGTTCCATCAGAGTTCCTTCCTGGTGCCGGGGGATCGGCCACATGTATTTAGTGCCCCTATAGTAGCGTTCTTGCTCCTAGTAGCGATGCCAGGAGCCCCTACTAGCGTCCTTGCTCCTAGTAGTAAGGCCACGAGCCCCTACTAGCGTCCTTGCTCCTGTAAAATTCTTGAACACTTGAGGTCAGAGTGTAATTGACGTCATTGCTCATGCAAAATGTCAAATCAATGCCACATTCTTCTCAGGTCCACCAAGCTCACCCATCTCGTCTCCGTCTCCCTCCACCCGCCTCAGTCTGGGCCATGAAGACTGAGTCCTTGCTGCGGAGCGCCGAAAAGCGCGCTCGGACCATCTCCTCCGGCGACGTGGCGGCACCACCTTTGAGGATCCTCGGCGGACGCGACCCGCTGAGCCATCTGCGACCAGACACCCATCTGCGTGTTTTTCGCCCAGCCGAAAGCCGAAAGGCGGGCTTGCATCTACAAAAAGATGAATGAAGACCAAAGAGGGTGTCCTATAGCTCCCTATAGCTCAAATCAACATCCCTACCAGGACTTCCAACACGGTGCTTTTTGGATCCGAAGTGAGTGGATCATGGGCACCTCTATGGCCCCAATTCTTCATTAAGCATCCCTTTTGGAACTGCCGGTACTTGGGAGTTGTTGGAAAAGCATATATTTATATAGTTTTCTTGATCCCTATGCAACAATCCTGCAGTGGACACAGCTATGTTCTGACAATTCAGTTTCATATATTATATAGATTAGATACCTGACAACATGGGAGAATGACTCCACACAACCTGTGGCCAAACCAAGCAAGACAAATCACACTCTGCGTCCCCCACGACCTGCGTGACCCCACCCCCGACCCGTGCCCCACTCTCCGTCACTTGTCAGATCCAAAGGGCTTCTCCACCACTGAGGCTTTCTCCCCGTGATCCGACTTCAACTCCTTGAGGTTCACCTCCTTGCGCTTCCTGCGAACGACGCCGCCTCGAGCTTCCTCGACTCGACGGCCGTCCGCTTCGGTCGAGTCGGTCACGGTCACCACCGACGAGGAACGGGTCACCGGTCACGTGGCGCAGGTCGTAAGACAGCAGGCACCCCAGAGGTGTTATCTGTTCTTTCGGTTGGTTCCATGTAGTAGGGGTGATTGAACAGGGGCCAGTGGATGTTTGAGCCTTTCATTCATTTTTCATGTCATTTCCATTGCCTTAGAAGGTCTCTCTTCCGTGGCGTCTTTGCACCTAATTTACAGCCCTCGCAGTCTCTGGGTTGAAGTCCGGCCCCTGCTTAGCTTCCATGTTGAACTCAGCGATCAGGTTCTGAACGAACTCAGTAAACTCCTCAGGGTGGGACTTCAACCCAGCAGGCGGCAGCATGTGATGGAAAACTGCCGCAAGTGCTTTACACAGGCCAGCTGGGTAGGCCTTGAGTTTGGCAGTGGCCCAACATCCATCCGCCTCCCTTCCTATTGCCTGCGCTCGTGGCAGGGCCGTGGTCCTATGTTCAAAGAGGATTTTTTCAACCTCTGAACTCACGTTCGTGAACATTAGCTTGGTAGGCTTTGGTGTAAGGCCTCCGTAATATCCTTGGAGCACTC